GCTTCGCGGAATACCGGCGGCTGGCAGGCTTCTGTGCGCAGCGGAATATCCGCCTTATGCACTTCCCGGTTCCCGCATACAAAGAGGGGAAGCTGGCCCTATCGCCTGACATGGTGGCACTCATTCTCCGGGTGCGCCTCGTTCTCCCGGATGCCCCTCCTTGGACTTGCGCGCGCGCGCGCGCACACACAAACACACACACACACACATACATACATACATACATACATACATACATACATACACATGCACGCACGCACGCACGCACACACACGCACGCACACGCACGCACACGCACGCACATTGACAGCTCGTCTTCTATGCTCTCCTGCTGATCTCCCACCACACCATTCGAAGGCCATCCTCGACTCGGACGCCCAGCCGGTGTATATCCATTGCCTGAGTGGCATTGAAGTTGTCGGCGCGGTCATTATCTGCTTGCGAAAGCTGGAAAATCTCCCCCAAGGCTTTGCCCTGAGCGAGTTCCTCCGGTGCGTGCCCGGATCTCCCTCTGTGTGCCCTTCCCCCGCCCCCCCCTTTTTTCCCCCCCCCTCGCCCCCCCCCCCCCCCCCCCCATGTCCCATGGCATCAGGTGTCCAAACTAACTGGCCGATTGCGATCCATTTCCAATGGCAAATGGAGGAAGGTTCTCTGCCGGCAAGTCGGTGGAGCCGGAGTTTGCCGACCTCTTCAAGGCCTTCGACCCGTCGGTGGTCGCTGCCCCAGCAAAGTGCCAGGCGGATGATGCCCAGGGGTGAAGTTGGGCTGCCCGGAAATACAGAAACCCGACGCCATGGCGCCATGCCGGGAGCATGACAGATGGGGGACAATGCACAAGGTGACGCGAAGCAGGAGGAGTGGCAAGACATTCACTTCGATCGCTTCGAGGCCCGGGGGGTACGGGTCTTGTCAGTGGGCTTGGGCCCCATGGCAGGGCTGGGATCCGTTCCATCGGACTTCGACACGACGGTTGGCTGCTCGGGCTCCTCCTCGCGCGGGCGCTTCTTCTTGTCCTCCTCGGCCGGGACATCCGGCGGAGGCATGGCGTCGGTCGCCGGCGCAAGTGGCACCAAGGGGCTGACAGCGATCTCCGGGAACTTGCCAGGCAGCGGGCGGAGCTCCAGGACATGGAGGACCGGATGCACAAAGTCCGGGTGAAGTTGCTGCTCGGAAATCTGCGAAACATGGTGTGTCAGGGGAAATGCCCCAAACGCCGGGCCCAAGCAGACTGGCAGCACGAGGCACACGTACATCGACAACGGTGAAGTATGCGGCGGCCGCCTCCTTGAACTTTTGCTCGGCCGAACTGGGCGGGAAAACACGCACACGTCAGCGACTTGGCCTGCCACGGTCGAGCACATCCCCCATCGAGCACGGCGCAGGGGGGCAAGAGAAGCAGAGGCAGGAGAGGAGTGGAGGGGTGGGGGGGGGGGGGGGGGGATGCGCACCGGTTCCGACCATAGGACATGAGCACACGCGACCGGCTGTGACAGAGGC